CATGTTGTGGCTGCTGATCCGATTCCAAACACAAAGGAGTTTCTCGTGATGTGCTCCATTTTTATTACAGAGTTTCGATCTCTTGCTTGATTTTTCTTTTTCTCTGGGCAAAGCAAAGATGACCTAAGTTAGTGTCAAGTGAGACATGGCCTTAGCTGGCATTTTAGTCTGGAAACGATGAGGTGTCAACAATAACAGCTAACAGGATCATACTCCCAGTGTCATTAATTTTCTCTTTTCAGTATCCTCCACATTTCCTGTTGTAAAAATGCTGGCCAATTCTTCCCTGTTGCTGACTTTTGTTTTCCTTACTGTTTTGAGAAATTCCTCCTTCCTCAGGATTTCTAAAGCTATTTCACACAGTGCCAAGCCAGCAGCTCTCCCCATGATTAAAACAAAACACTTTAGTTCTAAAGAGCAAAGACCTAACCTCCTATCTCGCACAACATGAGGTGTCCCTGGCCTCCCTTTTTAGCTGATTCTGCTTGCTTGACGTACTTTCAGAAGTTCAGTAACTAGCAGTGGAGGGGTCATGTTTGCCCTCAAGTTGCTGCTTTTCATGCTTGACATGTTTTTCTACTGTCCAGTCCCTTAGCTGCAGCAGGGTCATGAGGATGGAGAAAAGGGTGGGGGTTACAGAAAGGGTATTGTATTACACAAACCCCAAAAGGTTTCGGTTACAGAATGTATATTGTCCATGCCTATTGGGCTTGTGGAGAAGTATCAAGTTCACCACATTCTCATTTGGGGACTTTGATCCTCTCAGTTAAAAAGAAGCTGCTTAGAATTACTCTGCAGAGCAAAGAAATGAATCAGTTGTACTCACTCACCCAGCACTGAGGAATGCCAATATTTCTGTTAGCCAGCCCAATCCTAGGGAGATTTACCCAGCTGCAGAGAGGCTGGAAGGGGCTTAAGTCTATCAACACAACCACAGGCTCCCCCCGCTCCTTTCAGAAAGGCCCAAGCACCTTTTATGTTGCTGACTTTCAATGATGTGGAGCCCCTTGACGCTACTCTAGAAATGCATGTAATGTCATGCTGGGTTTGAGTATTTCTATGCTCCTTTCAAACCTGAGTATTTTTATACTCCTCTGTAGCTAAAGCAGCAACGGGAACTGCAGCCATGCATCTTATCTCTTCTCCCTCATCTCTGTTTCTCTAGGTTATCCATCATCATGCAGGTATTCCTGCTTAGGCAGTTTATCAGTCAGATAAAAATATACATGGAATCACCACAGCAGTTGTTTCTGCTGCTCTAACTTTCCTGTCCCCTTGAGATAGGCTGTCATGTCTCAATGAACTTTTCTCCCACAAAGTATGAAATTCTGTAATCCTTTTTCTATAGGAGTTCTTGTGTTTTTTGCCTGGAACATATTTATGCACATACTGACTATGTTTTTTTTTTTCATTTAGATATATACTTCTTTTACTCAGTAGTCTTTGTTAACCTAATTTTTACAGCTTGATGAGCTATGTGATGTGCATACCATCATATTCTTTCTCATTGTTAAAAAAGGAAGACCTTTTATATGGGGCTTTTGTCTGTATTGTACTAAAAGTAGAAAAATCCAGAGCCATCAGGTGTTTAAGAGCCACACCTAAGCTTCTATCATCAGGACAGCACCCAGCCACTATCTAGACCCTCAGGGCCCTCAGAAACTGCCACAATACAAATAATAGGAGTGACAGAAACCGGCTTTCCTTTTGCTACATAACATGTACTTCACCGCTTAATGACTGGGAGCCTGGCAATACCGGAAGTCAGCGCCTGACCCAAAAGGACAGTGTTTTTTCCAGCCCAGCACGGAACTACATCTAGCGTAAGATGAGGTGTATTACTGCTTCAGCTACAGATTCCTCTCTTACTGCTGTAGCTCAGGTGACTCCCTTAGCACCAGCTAAACAGAGAAATAATGCCTGCACAGAGAGCACGCTGATGCCCGCATGTGCTGGTGACCCTCTCTCAACCCCCATGCACTCCTTCGGCAGCAGCAGCCTCTGCAGAAGAGCAGGAAAGGGGAACAAAAGGAACACTGAGGATCCCTCAGCCTCCTTTCCTCTGGGTTCCCCCTGACCAGCACACTAGACTGAACTTCACTGGAGGGCTGCGATCCCCGTCGCAGCGTTCTGTTGAGCGGCTGTAAGAGCAGCTTTTCAGCATTCCCACCTGCTGCAAGCACACGCTGCCAGGGAGGGCAAGGGCGGCAGCCACAGCAGACATCCACGCCTCAGCTGGAACTGTTCCATGCGGAGGTGTTGCTCTAGTGAACGGGGTCAAAAGGGACCCAGGAAGGAATAATGAAGCCTTGGCTGATTTTTCAAGGGGCTCTGTTTTGTTGCATTAGCAATTTTCTACAGCATTAAGCAGTTTCATGGTACATTGTACTGTGTTACCTGAAACACTGTACAGACTATTTTCAGCCCAGAAGCTGAAGGATTTGAGACGTCAAATATTGTGCTAGGCAGAGAGACTAGCAACAGAACAGTAGTGACCCACCGTAAGTTTTCTAGCGCAAGAGAACTGATCTTCCTTCTCAGGACTGCAGCCCCATCAGGAGTCCTGCTCCAGCCTTCCAAGGAGCTGCTGCACCAGTGCCTAAGAAAGAGTCTACATCTTCATTAATCACTACCTGTGCCTATCTAACCTGTATCCTCTCCTTGCTCCAACCATCCATCCTTTCCCTTCTCTCTTCCTTCCCTCCCTTTCTCTTCAGTCCTCCTTCCTATTCTTTTTCTCAGTGAAATTGTCCAGAGGTAGTTATAATAAATACAACAGCTTAAATAACTATGGGGTCAAGAACTGTCTTTTTATACAACAGATGCAATATAGGTTATTTCAATCACTATTTTCAGTTAGATTTAGATCTCAACTTGTGCTTTCCAGATACACAAGGAAAACGACAAGTCATTGGCATGTCCACAGTGAGAGGGGCTGTACAACAGGTGTCTGAGGATGGTCACCCTAATTTTCAGAAAAAAGTTAGGACATAGGGAAAAAGAAAATGTTACAAAAAGAGCTAGATGATGTGTCAGCTGTACACCATAAGCAGCACTCTTGGCTTTCACGAAACAAGTTGGACCATGTCAGTCATGGCATTTTAAAACCACAACACTCAAGAGTAGCAAGTGACATGATGCAGTGTGCACAACACATCGGGACTCCACTGATGGTCTATCACGAAGGGTCACGTCAGTGCACAGGAACCGCGCTGCACCTCGCCGAGCCTCTTCATACGGGACACGGGGGAGAAACCGGGAGTATCTGCAGCTCGAAGCGAGACGAGGAATGCTGCGCGGCTACTGGGGTCGTTATTCCTTAAGATCTTGCCTTTTAGAATCACATAACATTTCTAATAGTAACAACAGTAATCAGAATTTCTATTGCTGCTTAATTTCCAGTATTTGAATCGGGTTGGAATCAATGTCTTTGCAGAACATTTTATGGAATCCTTCCTTGTCAATCTCTTCTTTTTATTTATGACTATAATCCTAAAATCACAGCCAGCTGACACTGGGAGAGTGAAGAGCAAAATGCTGTAAAGACAGCTTGAAAAAAGCAGAGCTTTCATCTATTACAGGGAGTTCCGTCTCACTTAAAATTTCATGAATACTATCAGAAATATTATTAGAAATAATGATATATTTGTCACTGGAATATTTCTTAACTATTATATTAAACTTCATAGATCAAACTGCATGCAGTTTTTTACAACAAATGCCCAGAATGAAGCCCAGTCAAGGTGCTCAGCACCCTCTGCACACTCCGCGGAGGGGCCTGCCCTGTGCCATCGGTGGTAGCTGAACTCAGACTGACTTCAGCTGCGGGGTGACCTGCCTCATAACCGCGGGATTTACAGCAAGAGAGAGAAGGACCCCCGTGCTGAGCACGAATGGTCCCGGACAGCCACTTTGTGAACACTCACAAATGCGCAGACACTGCTGGGGTCTCCAGGCCCCCGCCCTGCCTAACACCCATGCCGAGATGCTCCTTAGCACAAAAGGAGTCTCTAGTTTTGTGGGTAATGCATATTCTGATGCCATATTCTCCCTGCCACCGAGGGAGAGCCATGAAACAAGAACAACCTGGAGGTCTGTATCCATTTCCAAGACTCCTCGCTGACCCTGTGCCAACTGTTCCCTACCTCCTCCCAGAGCCAGGCCTCCTCGCTCCCGGAGCCTACCAGCGCTCCCATGGAGCAACGCTTGCGGGAGAAGGTCAAAGCTCAGGTCCGACAGCGTAGAACACAGACCGAGGGAAGGCTGGGAGGAGAGCGGAGCAGGACTTTTGTGACTCATGCCCGTCTTCCCCAGACATACGCTCTAAAAAAAGAAAGTATCCATTTGAAGAACGGCATCGTGTGTCCCAGAGAACCAGAGTAACATCCGTGCTGCAGGGCAGTGGAGGAGAGGGAGGGACCACGGCAAAGTGTCAGCAACCTGCTGATCTGTGTGAAATGCCAGGCATGGTACCCAGCACCGTGTCGAGAGCACAAAGGAGCAGACTGCTCATGGAAGCTGTTGCCTTCACGGTGGGATGGTGAGCTCCACCGGTCCTCTGGGGAAGCTGTGCCTTGACGGTCTCCCAGCTGCCTTCTGGGATAAGGCCTGGAAATAAAGCATCCTTCTCTGCACCCTGATTTCCCCAGGAAGGAGTCCAGACACAAAAGAGGAGATGCAACCTGGTTGCTTCAGGCGCAGCACCACCAACTCCAGCCATGCAGCGAGGGTGCAACAGTACTCTGCACCCAGGGACACGCTCCTGCATGGGGAGAGGGCCCCCCCTCCACAGCGTCCCATGAAGTCCGCGTGGGAGTAACCAAGCATGGAAGCTGGCCTGGCACCTTCGAGGCATCAAGGGTATGTTCTGGTCAGGACTGAGCTGTACGAACGTTTCTACTTCAGAGTGTTTTCTGCTGAAGCGTTGAGTTAATCCTCTGGGTACACTTCCTCCAGCCTCAACATCCATCCTGCAAACCTCTACTACAATGCTGAGGAAGTCAAGGTGCTTATGCAGCTGACTGCCTTCTCACAGCAAACTGCTGTGCATTCAATTGCATCTGCTAGTGTCCTCTGTGATCCAAACTATGTGGGTGACAGCAACCAGCAAGGCTCAGATTAGCCAGCAACAAAGCTGGATGTTGTTTCTGGGCTGTCCTGTCCTAGATAGTCACTCAATACTGCACTTCATTTAACACTCCTAAAGTTATTTTTAATCTCAGATTCTCCCCAAGAGGTAGAACTTTTCTGCACCTAAAGACAGCAAATTCTCCATTTCTTGTCACCTTCTAGAAAACAACTCGACTAAATGGAATTAACCAAAACTGAACTTCCATTGCAGAGAACTAGAAGGCTGCCTTTTTTGCTAACCTATGTCAATTCTTACTGAAGGGACATTTTTAACAGGCAGCCTACCCTTCTCAGCAGATAAAGTTTGAATAAAAGAACACATTAAAAGGAATATAAAAGTACAAGTACGAATGAAGAGCTGTTCGCTGGAAACAGCCACAGATAAAAATCCCTGGAAATGTCATCATGCACTGTTTGTAGATACAGCTGTACCCATATCTCTAAATTACAAATGATAATGAGGTGTAAAGATTTTATCAGATACCTAGCCTGCTTGAAAGGCCTTTGTGTGTTGACTGGTGTAGTCTCATATTAGGTGGTAGGAATTTTGTTTTCTTTTCTAAGTGGAACATCAGATTACACAGGTCTTATTTCACTGCTGATTGCAGTCGTCCACTTAACATCTTGACAGATATTCAAGAATGGAGCAAGGCTGGTGGCGCTGCCGAGTGAGGTGCACATTCATCCATCATCTGCTAACAGATCTCTTGGAGGGCCAGGCCTTATGTCATTAGCCTGCCGCACTACACAACTTAGTGGCGCTTTTTTCTAATTCCTGCTAACTAGGTTTCTCAACACTTTTGTGACAGCCTGTTAGCTTTCATTTCTACAGACAAAAACAGCAACTGCAAATTTTGTGCCTGGCTTTCTGATAGCCCAGAACTTGAGTAATACGGTAGGTTTTTTGGTACACTTGCTGGAGATAACACAGTTGTGTGATGCTCCGGCCTACCTCCAGCAAGCATTGCCACTGCAGAGTCTGTATATTGCTGAGTATTCTTCAATGCCTTGTTTGTTTTCTCACAGCAGCAGGACTGTGATCGCCCATTGTGCCATCTCCTGCGCTCCCATCCCAGTTCACTCTGGCCCCTCCTGGGGAAGAAGATGGGCTCCCAGCTGAGCCCATGACTCTGCTGCATAAGGGTCAAGCTGCCAGATCTTAAAGTAGGAAGGGTCACTTTGGGGTCCAAACGGACGATGGGCACCAGCTCAGACACAGGAGTAACTAACCAGGACCCAAACACACCACTGAGCCCCAGGCACTGCTTCACAGGGGGGCTGCAGCAGAGCAAGCCCCAGGCAGGACAGCACGCCCAGCAGTCCCGACCCCCAACAGCCTGCTGTGGTCCTGCGACTGCTCTCGCCTGCGTTTCGGCTCGGCTGGAGGCGGACATGCACGAAGAATAAGCGCTGCCTGTGATCTGATCCCACTGGGTCCCTCACCAGTCTTCCCGAAAAACGGTTTTACAGAAGGGTCTGGCAGAGAATTTCCCTGACCCCAGGCAACCTCCACACCATCTCTGGTGGCACTGGCAAACCAAGTGCCCAACCTTGCTGTGACCCAACAGCCCTGCATATCACTCTGGGACAGAACAAGGACCCACAGAAAGACTTTTGCCCCACGGAAGGAAATGTGGCAGCTAACAGTTTCTCCTCTACACGATTCACTATTGCTCTTGGCATATAACAAGTTCAGAGAAAAATCTTTTCTTCAAGGAAAATTTATTTAGGGGAAAGAATTGAGATGAGTAACAAATGTAACTGATGTTTGTTGCTGTTGCCAGGTACAGTGCAAGCAGCACAAGCATCCATACCACCACACTGAGAATCTATGGGTCGGCATGAATCTCATCCAAAAAGCAAACTGGTCCACCAGTCCAACGCGATGGAACACCTTGTGAAAAACAAAGCCCATTGTTCTATATCCATTCATTAGTGCTTTTGGCACCTCGTTGAGCCTCCTTTATGACTTCTTATTTTTGTCGGCTTTTCTACTTGGTTACATTAAAAGATGAGCTCTCTTGAACCTCTTTAATGTTCTTAAACTCATAAACCACAAAGCATGTTCTATTTCTGGCAGCCTGTAAGATTTATTACAGTGACTGGCCTTGTGTTCACACCTCTGTTGAAAGACAGAAACAAACTCTTTAGCATTTTGAGAATCATTGCTTGTCAACAGGCCACTGCATAGTTTGACTTCACTGGACACAAGAGCAGAGTAAGGTTTCCCTCTAACACTGTTGTCTGTGAAAGAATTCTTAACGGAAGCTATGAGCACAGAAACCTGAAGCTACCTGTATATGTGAAATAGTTATCATCCTGCCTGCTTTCATGTAACACTCAGTGGAAAAAATGTATTTGCTTCTATTTGGGAAACACTCATTAAGATCATTAAAAGCCACGGATGAAACCATATAAAATAAGTTTGTGTTTCCTCGTCCCAGTATACTTGACATAACAAAGGGCATACACTCTTAATGTAAATAGATCACACTTGCACAACACTATTCTAAATAAATCTGGGGCTAATGTAGTTTATGAGATACACCGAGGAGGTTAAATTGTTTCTGACTAGGTGGTTAATTAAAGGATTTATTTTGCAATTGCAGAGGACCCATAACTCATGAGTTACTGCACAATAAAAGTGTTGTAGATGTGTAAAATAACACCACGATCAACTCCCCCAAGCCACCTAGCCCCATGCAGTTCTGTGTGTCCCTTCTTTGTGCCAACAGCCCCAGTCCAAAAGTCAAGAACTTTTAGAAACCGTGGCTTGGGGATTTTTGTTGTTGTTGGTTTGAGGTTTTGTTTTGTGTGTTGTTTTGGTCTTGTTTTTAGTGAAATAGATGCATCTGATGAAGTGGTTGGCTCAGGGCTTCTGCCAGCTACATCAGAGGGGAAAAAAAAAAATACACGGAGGCTAAATTATCAAGCAAAAGTGTCTGGAACAGCAGAGAGAAGCAGCCCGATAAGACTTTTTAATAGATGGTTCTCATTCTGTTTCTCTCTCAAAAGACTCCTGAGGATCTTTGAGGTCTACAGTGAAGCCTCCATCAGAAGACATATTGCATTTGTAGCTTGTTTGGCAAGGTCTAGCATTTGTTTTACTATTTCCTCAAAGTAATCTTAATGTTTAATGAAACATGACAAAGAGGAAGTGTGAAAAAAATAGAACATGGTTTTGCTTTTAGTTAAAAATCTGATTGTTTTGGTCCATACTAAAAAAATCATTTTCCTATATATTTAGCCCTCTAAAATCCATGCCATTCGGCTACCAGCATTAATGATGTTAGGGTGAATTATAAAGAGAAATCAAATTTTCCATAGCATTTGAACGCCATTAAAATGCCAAACAATAAACTACCAGACTGCAAATTAGATCAGTGGAAATATCAAACACATTGCGGTATAAAATCCATAATTGCATTTAGCGCTTTGGCTCCCAGGGGACAGGCTGCTAAAGATCATCACCGTGCCACATATGAGAAGCTATTGACAGAACGATAAAAATCGACAGGCTAACCAAATAAACACTGCAGGCTTCATTAAATATTCAGCAACTGAAATTTGACTATCATGCGCCTTTTTTCCCACTAGATGTGTCCTGCTGCAGCGCTCAGAATTTTTACTGTGACAGCAATATGGGATGCTGTGCCCTGCAGGCCTGCGCAGCACCGAGCAGCGGCAGGACACGGTCAGGGCCGTCAGGTACCGGCACCATCAATAAACACGCTGCAGCTCAGACAGGGTTATTACTCTTCTGAATACATTATTAGCCTTGGCCCCAGGAATATCTGGCTCCAAAGACTGTAATTAGAGGAAGCGTAATATCTACAAAAGTTTAACACTTCTCCTAGGAGGACAGGGACATCTCCTCCCTAACAAGGTGCTCTTTTAAGGAGCCGAGCACTAGATCCCCAGCCCCCTGCCCCTCCTGCCGGGTGGGGTGACGCAGCGACGACGGCGTGGCCCTGCAGACCCCGAGACAGGCGAGGGCCAGGCTGCTGAGGCCGGCCAACGCTCGAACGGCCCCCCGCGCCTGTCCCCATTGTAGAAGGACACAAAGGGAATGAGTGTCCTGGCAGAAAACAGGAGGGTGCTAATTTTGAATTCTATTAGCCACTTCTTTCTTGTTACTCTCTTGGATTACCTGCTGCCAGGAAGAGCGC